ATAAGCAATCCTGAAAAATATTTGGGGGTGCTTAACTTTTTTCCAGGTGTATATATAGATTTAAAAAAATTAATTTTGAAAAACAACCAGCGGATGCACTGCTGTCTCAAACGAGTTTGGTATATATAAAAACAGTTGAAAACAGATCCCCTATACTCCTAATGTACTACAATTAGAATAGGAGCGCACTGATCAATATTTAAAAGTGCAAACATCAATAAAATCATTTGATCGTATGATCACGACGATGTTTTAATTTCGATTTTAGGCCCACGTGATCCTACATAATTAAATATGTAAAAACAGCTTCTTTAAAATGTTCCTGCTAATATTATAATAATAATAAAAAAAACATTTTCAAGAAATTTGGTCGTTTTTGTGATAGTTCGTAACATGTGCTAAAACACATTGCATTATTATTTTTTAGATATGATCTTGTTTACGGGTTTAAGTGGCGTGTCTGTTTACATAAGTATACAAATTATACATATATAAAACTATAACAAGCCGGCTTTCCACACCTAAAGCCGTATAAAACGTAACAGGATGACCATATATCATCGACCTAGCTTAACTGATACTACTGGAAATTGTAATTCTCAGCAAATAACTTTTCGTATCACAAAAATAATCTTTACATGAAGACTTCAAAGGTTTGGTCATATTTTCTCAATATAGTTTGACGAGGCGATTCAAGTATCTCAAACTTAATCATGATTACTAAATTCATTATGTTAACAAGTTAATGTGTTATTCCCAAACCAAAAAATGTTTGAATAATTATAAACGATGTTTTTTTTTTATTACAGAAAGATTCAAAAACGAATATATACACACGAAGTTTAAAAGTTTTTACTTAAATCCAAATTCACGTAATTAACTCTGTAAATTATAATATGGCGTGGCTAAAAGGCTAAACTATAGATAAAAGAAATAATTTTATTCAGTTTTATCTGTACAGAGTGCATTAGATTTCATCGGGAGTGACACTGACCACAGAAATAGAAAAACAAAAGCAAACAATTAGAAAGCAACACACACGTTCCCCATTAATCCATCTATAATAAAACGTTCCATGTGGAAGTCTTAGAACCAACTTTTCTCAAAAGATTAGCTTTGTTGCTATCACTAATGACAGCATAAGAACTTTAAAGTTTTGGTTCATCAGTTTTATTATTAGACTACAGGACCTGACAGATAAAAAGAGATGAAATTACCGATGAATGAAAACAACGTCTAACCTGGTGCGATCTTTGCCAATTGAAGTGACAACCATTAAAATCTGTCACAAAAATCATTTAATTTCTTCCATTGCTCAATACTTCTTTCACATCATCACAAAATACAATACATCATGCAGTCAAGATTCTACATCTTGTAGAATTAAATAATCCTTGAAACATATATTTCCTTCTCATACTGTACAACTTGAGATTAAAACAATTTCTTGTTTGTTTGTTTATTAAGCACAAAGCTACGCAATGTGTCTTGAACATCCAACAGTATTAGCAGTTTACAACTTCAAATTGACTGACTTATGTTAATCAAATTAACTAAAGTTCAGAAACCTTTACTAACTGGGCTGACAAACAATTTAGAATTAGCTTACAAATAAGATACAATATTACATCAAGGATGTTAGTTTACACTGTTTTCACTTTCTGATCTCTTGAAATCATCACATTCATGCACAATGGAATCAGATTAATACAGCTTAAATAAACCTCAAAATAATAATAACAATAAAACAGGTTCACAGAACCTACAGCTATCAACTTTTTATTTCAATAACTCATATAAAACCATTTATCATAAATTATTAGCTTTGAGACATTATGTCATTAAAACTAAACCTTAATGCATACTAGTAACAAATTCAGTAACACATGAAACTGGCTCCACTTCAGAAGTGCTTATTAAAGCTGATAACCAGTATATTCATAACATGCAATTAACAAGTATCCATGCTTCTTAAAAAATTAATGTATCTCCTGTAAAGAACTATCTCTGACAAGTTTTATTTACTGTAAAAAAATATATGTGATAAAATTACTTTCATATATTCCATGAACAAGCATTTCTGGTAACCATAACCTTCACATTTGTTGTGAACAAGTGTTCATGATAACCATAACCTTCACATTTGTTGTGAACAAGTGTTCATGATAACCATAACCT